TCTGACTTCTGATGTATGAGAGTGGTTTTGCCTGTTTTGGGCCTTCATATAGTTGAAATTATGCCTTTTGTTATTTATCCATGTTGTATTAATTTTTTCTTAGCTTCTTTTTATGTTTATTTTCTCGAAGAGCAAGAGAGACAGACAGCACCCCTCAATAGAATATTGACACTACACAATCCACCTTATTTCAGCCAGCTGCAGATCTGCGCACGTGCACGCCCAGCCTACTCCAGGTCTCTGGACACACGTGTGAACCTGGAATCTTCTCACATGGGTCAGCCTTGCGCAGCATCCCATTTTCACCACTGTGCCACTCTCCAGCCCTCTATTTATGCTTTGGTATAGCTATAGCTGTATAGTATCACTTTTATGGTCACACCACAGTTTTCCTATCCATTCTCCTGATGCTAGACAATCAAATGATTATTCCAAACTGTGGTAATTATGAATAAAATGCCATGACTATTCTTGTCTGTATCATTTGGTGGACATACATTGGGCATATTCCTAGGAATTAAAACATAAAATGCATCCCATTACAAAAGAGGCATATTTCTAGAATTTTTAAAGAATTACTCATTTAATTTTATTATTATTTTAATTTACAATAGGGCACATGTGCTCACCAGAGAGAGAGAATGTGAGAAAGCAACCTGCCAACTCTGAGACTAGAACTGCATTTAACCATGTGGGAGTCCAGTCCCTCAACCGCCTTGCCATCTGCTGGCCCCAGGGTACATATTTTTTTATGTTTTATTTAGCTCGAGACTCGCTATAACCTCATGAGATAAAAAGGGTAAATACAGTACTGGTATTTTGATTTTATATTTGAGAAAAATTGGTTATAAAAAATCAGGGGTCTTGCCCAGGATTCTTGAGATACTGTCAGAGCTAAAGTTATGTCTGTTTCACTCAAGGCCATGGGAACTCTCTGGTACAGCCTTGCCTTTATGACATGCAGTAAGCTCCAGGTGGCATTATGAAACCCAGAGGTATGTCATTTTAGGCAAACTACATGCAAACTGACTTTTGTTCTTCTTGATTTTTTTTTAAGAATTGTTTTATCTAACCTTATTATTATCGTTATTTAATTTGACCAGCGAGAGAGAGGGAAAGTGAGAAAGCAAGTTAACAGCTCTAGGACTCGAACTGCAGTCGGCCGTATAGAAGTCCATCACCCTTAACCACCATGCCACCTGCTGGCCCCTTCCTGGTGCTCTTTTATACACCTGGATTATAGATGATCAATCACCCAATGATGTTGGAGTCAGCCAATAGAAGCAATGTGTTTTTCGTTTTGGGTTTTTGTTTGTTTTTTTCCCTAAAGAATTATTTATTTTATTTATCTTTTTTGTTTGGGTTTGGTTTGGTTTGTTTTGGTTTGACCAGAGAGAGAAAGGGGAAGTGAGGAAGCAAGTCATCAGGTTCAGGACTCGAACTACCATCAACCATGTGAGAGTCCAGCACCTTAACCACCACACCATCTGCAGGCCCCAAACCATATGTTTTTAATTTGGGGATTGGTATAGGTCCAAGCACCAACTGATTGTTAGTTTTCAGTCTTCTGAGAGGACAGGACTGGCAGTTTATACAGAGGTTATTGATTCCTTTTCTCTGCTCATGGCCAGCATCGTATTTCAGTGCACTTGAAAAGTAGTGGTTTATCCGTTTCATAAAGATCTCCAGGTAAGGAGGCTCTTTTGTGGTAACCCCAAGTAAGTGATAGTGTTCTGAAGAAGGAGGAATTTGTCACACAAGTGTCCTTTCCATTTATTCTCCACTTTTTAAGATATTGCAGAGGGAAAGAATGGGAGAAAAGATGAGAGTTGACTCCTACCCCTCTCTGCTGCGTGCTGAGAATCTGTTCCTTTTACAGAGAAAGCAGCCAATCATTGCATTCCCTGCTCTTCCTCTGGCTGCCCTGTCACTGCACAGCCTGAAAATTACTTGCAGTTAAAACTCTGATGATGAGGAGTGATATGTGTAAAAGATCAGCCTTGCCTGGGGCTTTGGGAGGGATAATGGATGGCAGCCCAGCTTTTAGCCATAATTTGCTTACGCAGAAAATGCGAAGCAGAGCTGTCGGGAAAATCAGCTGCAGATGTTTAGCACTTGATGGAAATGAGGGTGCTTTGCTGCTGCTCCTCTCTTCCTAGAAGTCTGGCCTAGTCTCAGTGATGTGCCATTTGTGTTTAATTATATATTCCATGGTCACACTGTGCAGACAGCCCTGTCTTAATTCATCCTTAAAATGCAGTATGAAAGGGGCTCTGCAGGCGGGGCAGGAATGGGACTTGGAGCTTTTAGGGGCTGAGTGCCAAAAAACATTAGAGGTTTTCTAGATGCATCCCTACAAACCTACATGTCTTAGGTTACTACGGTGAAACATGCAGTGGCCCGGAGCAACACTGCACTCATGGAGTTTGTCAGATGTTTGGAAGGCGCTGGTCACTTGAGGCCACACAAAGGCTCATGGCAGGATGCAGCTCTAGTTTTTATTCTCTTCACCCAACTGGGTAGGTCCTATCCTTTAGCCATGTATTCCTGATACAGGGAAAATCATGAAGGGATTCATGACAATGAGTAGGAGAGAAAAGGTATAAATCAAAATCACTTTTAAATAGTGATGTTGAGTAGAGGCCAGAAGTTGGCGGGGCGGTTAATGTAGTGGATTCCCACATGGCCGACTACGATTTGAGTCCCAGATCTGGCCACTTGAAGATCACAACAAATAAATAGATAAATGTTTTAAAAACAAAATAGTGATGACGGCCTAGCCACTGTGATGCGGTGGTAGCACAGTGTTCTGCAGTGCTGGAAGCCACGAAGAGCAGAGTTTGGTCCCTGGGTTGACCTGCACCTGTTGCTAGGGTTCTCCGTGTTTTTGTTTTCCCCCAGAGGACACATGTGTGCAAAAGAGTGAGAGAGAAAGCACTCCCCAGTGAAGCGTAATCACAGTGCAACCCCTTTCCCTCCTTTCCTCCTTCCCATTAGCATTCTAGGCTTGCATGCATATGCACCAGTGTGTTTTTCAAGGTGCTGGGGCTGGAATTCAGACCATGGTCAACCGTATGGGATACAGTTCTTTCCACACGTGGTTTTACTACTGCCCTGGAAGGCCACTGTACTTGTTTTCTGTCTCTTAGACCATTGATTCCCAACCCTGCATATAGTCCAGTTTAGGGGCCCAAAGCGCTATGGAAAGAGCCATAAATGCCTTTAAAAGAAGATGAAATTTCTTAATTGCCTGGTCACAATGGAAGCTAATGAATAGTGAGGTGTTTGGTTTTTTTTTTTTTGGAGAGATTTTCACTGTAGGGCGCGTGCGCTCGCCAGACAGACAGAGAGAGACATAGAGACAGAAAGTGAGAAATCACCCCCCAGGGGGGATGGTCACGCCGCAATCCCTTCTCCTCCATTCTCCTCTCGGGATCTTGGGCACGCACGCACATGCGCCCGGCGTGAGTTTTTTAAGCCACCCGGTCCGGGACACGAACCGCGGTCGACTACGTGGGAGTCCAGCGACATAGCCATTACGCTAACTGCTGGTTCCCGAATAGTGAGGTGGTTTTGACCGAGGACAAAAAATCCAGGAGAGAGGTTGAGCCATGATGTTCAGGTCCGTGGTACAAACGACAGCAGAAACTGCGCCACGGCCACGTGTGGTGTGTGTGTTTTTGTACATGAGGAATGAAAGGCAGAGCTCGTTTTGCTTCCTGAAACTTGGTACACACAGCCTAATATTTAGTGGGTGACTTTGGTTTATAATTTATTGAAGAGACTTATTTAGACTTATTTACAAGTCTTTAGATTTTAGGGGCCCTAATTGTGTCTCTAGCACAATAAAAGTTACAGGAATGTATGGAGAAGGCTTTTCTTGCCCTTTTTTTTTCATGTTGATAAAGTGAGAAAACCGTAACAACACTTTTTTCTCTTGGGTGGAGGCAATTGCAGGAGAGCAGAGGTGTGCTAGAAAGCTCACCTCACTCACTGCACACAGGCCCCTTGCACACTGACCCTGATGAATGCTCACAGAGAGAGGCTCACCCCACCGTACACTGCACCCCTGAAAATGCTTACACCTGTGGGCATGTCTCTGCTACTTCAGTAAGTTCTTATGGTACCAGAAGGTTACTCTCCAGTGTCAGGATGGATGGGTATTGCTAGGACCCAGCTGTTGGATGCAGTTCCCACATGCCTTAAAGGAAAAGACTTCCTGCTGTGGTCTCTTGGACACATAACAAGAAAAAAAAAGTGTTCAGATAATGTTCGAGAGCACTCACTTCCCTTTTCAAATCTGGTTGTCACTCCTAGATCTTCAGAGACTTCATTCAGGGCTTTGCTTTTCTCTGTCTCTGCCTTTTAGAAGCTCCAAGTCTAGAATATACCGACGCTAAACAGAAGTTTTCTCGTGTGCCTGTTTTCAAACAATTTCTAACACAAATGGAAGAATTTCTATAAAAAAGTGAAACAACTTGTAAACTTGCCCGTTTTGTTACAAGAGTTCTTTAAAAAGAGTTCTGTTACCTCCTCTGTCCTCAGTAGAGTTCATGAATAGATGATTATAATCTTGACTTGATTCTTATGCTTCATTCTTTCAGAAGAGACCAAGACATACTGCTTTGGGGTGCTCAGTTGTTTTCTTACCTTTAATGACTCAACTTATCCCCCATGGAAGCAGAAATGGAAGCATTAGGTGTCCACCATGGACGTTCCCCATAGTCACTGTCTTGATGAGCCATGTCATTTCCTCCTTCTTGATAAGAACTTTTTTCAGTGATTATTTGGTATGGTCTATTGAACCTCAAAATTGGTTCTCTCATTCAGTGTCAAATGAAGAAGAGTATGCCAAAATGATGTTTCGTTTGGGCCATTTGCCAGGAGACTCTGCAAAGCAATCCTCCTCAGGCTTGCCTGTGCGATGCTAGCAGCTCGTTCCCTCCATCAAAGGCGGCAAAAGTGTCATTTCGGTACTGTAACTGCCTTTCTATTCACAGTTTCTGGCCCCCAAAGAAAAACCAGATGGAAATGCAGCAGCCGCATTTGAAGAAGGTGGTGATGTGGACGATTTAGTAAGTACTTTTAACATATGCCCAATGCTCTGATGGTTGAACTCACCTGAGTTGTAAATACAGCCACTGGAGCTGTTCAACATACACTTGTTTCTTATTTGTGTTTTAATTTTTAGCATGCCAAAAGCTCCCTGCATTATTAATAATTGCCCTGAGTGTAATCAGATCAGTAATATCACAGTGGAAATGCCTGTGTTCCCTGGTTTCAGCTATATTACTCATTCAGATTAAATTCTCACCTTTGAAGGGCTAAGAAGAAGCGCTAGGGAGAGTGTTCCTTTTGTACAAGATGTTATAATTTACTGAAATTACTCTTAACCAGAAATAAGCAATACAACATGCAATTTGTGTGGGCTGACAAATAAAAACAGCTTTTAAGAAGCCTACTTTGTATGTGTTTTCAGTTAACTTAATATAAACAGAATAGACTGATAGGCGTTTGAGGGTTTTATGACCTCATTACACTATGTTGTAGGTGCCTGGGGAGCTGGGTAAATGTTGGCTTTTGTGTCCATCTGTCACATTTGGAAACTTAATGCATGACAACTGTCCAGAAAAAACAATATACAATGCTTCAGCCTTTTTGTGAAGTTGTTCGTAGTACTAAAGAGAGGATTGGATTTTAACTCCTAAATTAGTCAGCTGTGCATAAGTGTGCAACATTTGTTGACCATTTTCATTAATGGTCTGCGACCAGAGAAGGTCTCTGACCAGAGAAGGGGCAGTCTGAGGTTGGCTCTGTCTCTTTCTAAACATGTTGTTCTTGTTTACAGCTGGATATGATGTAGGTCATGGATGTGTGGGAATCTGAGAGAGAGTTCATCACTGTGGTCCCGGGATCTAATGGAACAGCCTGCAGGATGCTGCTCAGGGGGAACCAGAAACCCTGAAGATGGTCCCAGTAGGTTATTCGGAAGTGAATCACCCGATTCTCTGTGGAATGAATACATACAAACATATTACAGGGGATGATTTAGACCCATACCAGTTTATAAAGGCTCGTTGTTATTTTCTGATTGGTGTATTATTTCTTTTGTTGTGTTATTGATATCAGTATATTACACACATGCTTTGAAGTTTCTGGAAAGTAGTTTCATCCTCACCTGGTATACATGTGAGGATTGCAGCTCTTAGGAAGTCAACCATGGCATGGTTACGGGTGAGTTGCTCAGCCCTTCCCAGCGGTCCTTTGCCCCCCAACAGCAACCACAGTTTATGTTAACTGAACAATAGCATTTGTTTCCTACCAGCAAGTAACTAACTAGGTTAGGAAAATAATGGGTAAGACTGACCCTTTTTTTAGTCAAGCCTTTAGAATCACTGCAGTGAAAAACCACATAGAGGTAGTTTTCCTTAAGCAGTGTGGGAAGGGGAGCACAATTTTCCTGCATGAATATTTTAAGCAGTGAGTTATGGTGGCGTTCTCATGAAGAAAAAAAGACTTGGCCTGGGCTCCAGCACATCAGGGAACCTGTAAAAAAAAAAAAAATATATATATATATATATAAACAAATTTACCACCAGTAGTTAGGATTTGGTTGTATTACTAAAATACTAAAATATTTCTTCCTTAATTCTCAGTCTTTTCCATCTTTACCTAAGTCAATTTTCATATATCTCTGGATAATGTTTCCTAAATAAGAAAACAGCAAAGCTGTTACTCTTTTTTTCCTTTCCTCATTCCTTCCCTAAGTTCTATCTCTTCCTTCCTTGGTGTCACAGACTTCTTGGTGCCTAATTTCCGGTGTCTTCAGCTCCCCCCTGAATGGTCACTGAGACACTTCATTTTGCAAATGTAATATTAAAGGCATAAATGGCTCACTCCTCTGGATCTCTGCTAATTAATATTGTAATAGACCTCAGTGCTGTGCTGAAAATTAAAGACCCTCATGTATTGATTGAAAATGGATCTCTTAAGTTGGGAACATCTTTCTTTCAGCTAAGGAGAGAGGCATGATTTACTTTGGGTCTCATAGGACATCCCGTCAATACTATGCACACTTGAGCCAACCTTGACGTACAGGTTTCCATGTAGAGCAACCCAGTGAAGGGTGCCATGTCATACTCAGATAGTTAAACTAGGGAATGTTTGTGATTTGGACAGAAATGAAACCTTTTTAGAATCACAAAGTGAAAACTTTGTTCTCTAAATTCTACATCATTCTCCTCCCCCTTCACTGAGAGTTTTGCCATAGGGAATGTGTGCTCACCAGTGAGACAGAGATGGACAGTGAGAAATCACCCCCTGGGGGGGATGGCCATGCCACAATCCCATTCTCCTCTTGGGATTTTGGGAATGCACACACACGCACCTTGCACGAGTTTCAAGCTTCTAGGTCCAAGACTCAAACCACAGTCGGTCACGTGGAAGCCCAGAATCTTAAGCACTTCGCTGCCTGCTGGCCCTCTACATTATTCTTACCTGAGCCTTCTGGTAGTATGAATCAGCTTAGTAAATACAGCCCCATAAGTATCCCATGTCATTGGTAATTAAAAATTCCCTTTCAAAGCACCAATCCTTCTACAAACCAGGAAAAGTATGAGTCAAGTTAGTTCTTTAGATCCTCTGGTACTTTTTAATTTAGGGTTGTACTTGGCAGGATTATTCGTGCTTCCCTAACCCAGCCGCTACCTAAATTATCCTAATAGTAGAAAGGAAAAATGCATTTCACAATATAGAGAGAAAGAGGACACCATTATCCGGGTAATTTCCAAATCCATTTATGTAGCACAGTGTATGTGCTGTGTAGACTTTGTCATAGTGTATTACTTTGAGTAGAGACATCACATTTCAGATGAACACGCCAAGATGCCATTCCCCTGACATGAGATCTGCAGATCTATAGAACCGTCAGTGTTCGCTGACTATGACCCGGAGATGGCAAGTGCCATGTGGTCCTCAGCTGGCTACAAGCTAGTCCTCAGAAACCCAGTAGTCCCACAAAGGATAGGTTTGTGTGTGAATTTGGAAGTCACTTTTGGTCTTCTATTTCACCAAAGAATTTCTCTATGTATTGACTTAGAATACAGAGATGAAAGAGAGGGACTGGGGCCAGCAGGTGGCATGGTGGTTAAGGGCACTGGACTCGCACATGGCCGACCAAGGTTCGAGTCCTAGACCTGGTGGCTTTCTCTTTCTCGCTCTTTCTCTCTGTGTCCCTCTCTGGTCAAATTAAAATAAATAAAGTTAAATAAATTTTTTTTTTTTTTTTTGCTATAGGGCCGCGTGCGCTCGCCAGACAGACAGAGAGAGACATAGAGACAGAAAGCAAGAAATCACCCCCCAGGGGGGATGATCACACCGCAGTCCCTTCTCCTCCATTCT